GATTCCTATATGCCTACAACTTACTACTATCTTGTGAGTGCAATTTGCCACAAGCACATTTTTTGGTGCTTCAATATACCACACCATTATTGGTTTCTGTGTGTTCATATATTTCTAGATTGTATTGCTTGTATTTTATTAAGAAGACTTGAGGGATCTTACAATCGAATATATTCATAGAAAGGGTCATTTTATTTTATGTACTTTTACCCACTGGGGAGCACGTGTGTTATATTACATCCGTTTTACTGCTTGATAAATGTATTTATTTTGTATAATACAAGCTCTAACTGTGCTCAGTATATTTTGAGAACCTGATTTTCTCCAATTATAATTTACATAATATGTTGTGTAACTCATGCTCCCGTGCTGAAAAAGATATCCCTAAATTTATTTGTCTTAATAGAACTGCAAGTCCAACGAAAAATTAAGTTGAGTTGCTTTTTTTATTTTTGTGTGGTTTTCTTTTAGCAGACATCTGATTCATTTACAGCATACAAAGGTTTTATAAAGATCAGGTGATTTCGCTCCGCTGGCAAATAGCTGAGATCAGACAGAAGAGCAGGTGGCTATATGCTAATAATAGCAGCTGCACAATTCCAAAGCAGAATGCACGTCGATAGTATATGCAACGCGATACAGTCTATGTAAGCCGTAAATTTTAGGGCAAAATAAGAGCAATAGAGATTTTTTAAATTCAGCTATTTTAATCCAAAATTTGTAATGCTGGTTAACTGATAGTTTAACTCAAAATATTAATAATAAATGCGTCCAAGGCCCCATTAATACCATAATATCTGCTCAATATGAATAGGCTCGTATACTAAAAGGTCTATTCACTAGAATGTGAACTGAGGTGAATTGGTAAGGATATTGCCTCACAGAGGCCAAGCTATTTTGCCTAGGTTTGGCAATTCCCATGCAAATTCACCACAATTGAGAATTAGGAACTCAAACTGAATTTCAAATTTAAGATCAAAAACTGTAAGTATTCACCTAGTTGGCCTCCAGTTTGGCTACTTTGCAATTAAATTTGAAAATCACTTTATCACCACCAATGATGTGCACGCCTCTTCTAAAATGGGCACATCACACCAGTAAATACAGATCTCAATACAGTACACACATGAGAACCACATCACAGGTCGCAAAGGGATATCTGTCTCAGACACCACATGCATAACAGTGTAAGAAACATAGGCCAATTCTCTGATGAAAGGCCAACACTTCTCCAGAGGTATTCCTACCCCTTTCCCCTTTTTTTTCTGAACAGAACACAAAAAGAAAACATTTCACTGTTCTACTGTTCGTTTCTATGTATTTTAATAAGTATAAAGTTAAAACCCGATAGTAGGCAAACCAGCCAACAGCAGATATACGAGGTGTTACATGCTCTAACAACACATTTCCTCCCTTCTGTAACCAATACGTCATGATTACTGTAATTTGGCGTTTGCGCACGCCTACAATACAGTACAACTGCATAACTATCGATGCAAAAATAAAAGAATTTAAAAATAAAATGGGCACCTCAATTCAATGCCCCTCCTGGAGTCTGTGTGTTGTAATGTAGGGGGGGTGGAGGTGTAGTATGGGTGGTAGGGTTGTAATGTAGGGGGATGGAGGTGTAGTGTATGAAGTGATAGGGCTGTAGTGTAGAGGATGGAGGTGTAGTATATGAAGTGGTAAGGCTGTAATGTAGGGACATGGAGGTCTAGTATTGGGTGGTAAGGAGCCCAGAAGCTGAATAGCTGCGCTGGGGTGGTTAAGGAGCTGCTCACCCAGCGTTCTAGCCCCAGACAGCAGGCAAATGCCTTATTTGCCTTATGGTAGCGCGTCCCTGGTGGTAACACTACCAAAAAGGTAAGGTGAACCACCATTGACTCTGCAGTACCATGGGCATTTAGGAGCTGCTTCCATGAGTATTCACAGACTTTGGTCCTAAGCTGCTCTTGTGTGCCACCTGACATGGTGAGTTACCCAATATGTGTGTTTATTTTATCCTGGTAGCCAGGTTGCCTAACTGGCAATTTTAATGGGGAGTGGGCCCTATAAGTGGAATGCACAATATAGTAGTGATGATCAATTTCAGCCATTAATTAAGGTTGCAAGCTGTCTCTGTTATACAGGGCTGACTCTACAGTAAGGTTAATTAGGCATTTGTCTCGCCCTGAGGAGTGCCATGACGCTTCATAGGCTGGTAGAGAATTGAAAAAATGTCCCTCTGCGAATCAGTGGAATCATTTGTGCGCAGCCTTTATGAATTGGCCGAGTTCTGTGAGTTTGGTGCTACCAAAGAGGATCAGATTAGAGACAGAATTGTCATAGGAATTACAGACTCTGAAGTCTCACTGAAGCTGCGGCTGGAGTTGACACTTGATGAGGCTATACAAATGCCTGAATGAACTTGAGAAGACGCAAAGTGTAGATGGGATCTGAAACATGGTACCGGTAGAAGAAATGCAGCAGTCCAGGAGAGCTGAGAGGGACAGACAGAATGTGTAGCAGACCACAGGCAGACAGGCTCAGAGGCGGTTGGGAGCAACAGGCTCATTGCACGTGATGAAACCGCACTCACAGAACAAAACTGTTATACCCTTATAAAGAGATGCAGGAAACGCAACTGAATTGGCCAGTTTGAGGTGGTTTCCAAATCAGGCCGTTAAGTGTCCATGAGACACAAGAGGTGTTCTTTGTAGGTTCTGTGATTGAACAGTCTGGTGAGTTACTCACACAGTGATGGGTGTAAGAATTGCTTTTAAGATTACTACGGGAGTGGACATTTCAAGACCATATTGTCATACCTGCCAGTATGCTGCAACAAATATTAAGTCTAATTCATAATGGCCATTTGGGGATTTCCAAGTCTAGAGAAAGAGCAGCCACAGCGGTGTGGTGGCCTGGAATCAGCATGGACATTGCAGAATACATATCAAGATGTGCCTTTTGCCGTGAACGTCGGCCTACACAGAGCAGAGAGAGCCTCTAATACCTACCCAGCTGCCTGTGGGCCTTGCAGATTTGGGTAAACTCAATGGAAAGAAGTATCGGATTGTTGTAGACAATCTCAAAATCGCACCCTTAGGTGAGGCAACCAGTATGGCTGCCATCACCAGTCTTAAAAGCTTGTTTGCTAGGTGGGTATACCATTGGAGTTAGTGCGCGATAACTGGATGCACTTTGCTTCCACGGTGTTCAGATCTTTCAGTAGAGCATGAGCTACCCGGGCCAAAGTGTCAGAGTGAAGTTGGATGACGAAAATAGGTGGAAAACACCGGCTATTGTATTAGGACATTCCCCCAAGCCAATGTCCTACGTGGTCCGCACAGAAGGCGGGACTCTTGCCCGCCACAATAGAAGACACCTTCAGTCATTCCCTGAGGAACTAGGTGCTGAGAATTTGGGACCACAGCCAGTTGAATCCCCGGTCATGAGATGTGTACCTCCCTTCAGACAAGAGTCGTTAAGTTAATCTCTGCAATAAAGACATGCTGAAACTAGGTCACCGTGTTATATGCATTTCATGACCACTAAATGCATGCATGTTTTTATTTGGGGTATATCTACTAAACAGTGATTTATATTTATTTGTATTAGGGCAGTGGAGTGTCCCTTTAAATGCAGGGATGGGGAACCTTTGGCCTTCCAGATCTTCTGCACTACATTTCCCATAATGCTCTTGCAGCCATAATGCTGGTAAAGTATCAAGGGAGATGTAGTTCAAAACATCTGGAGTGCCGAAGGTTCCATACCCCTGCTCTAAAGTAACCCTTTTTTGAGCTTGTTTTGATTGAGGCTCTATTGGACAATGTCTGGCCGACTCTGCATTCTCCAATACTCAAAGCCGGTGTGAAATCTTCTGCCTCCTGCATGCTTTTCTCAAAGTTGTGCATGTATCTGGTCACCCTGAAAGAAATGAACGTGTGGCAGTCAGTCCCTAATGCAAACAGTGCTATCTTCACTCTCTGAAGGAAAGACAATATTGCACTTATTATATTGGAGAAAGTTTCTGTTAAGCTGGGGTTTTACAGCAGGAGACAAAAGACACCTGCTAATGTTCCACTCTTAAAGGGATGCTTGCAGGGCCTGACATTGAAGTGACCGCATGTTGAGTAAGCTCCTGCTCAAAACGTGGGGTTGTCATATCTACTAACCACCAGTTTATCTGGCCACAAAACTACTTCTCTGAGAGGGGACCTCCTGCCAAATCAGTGGATGCTTAAATTATCGTTGTACTCCACAGGATTGCACAATCGAGCCTTTGTCTCTGGGTGGGACTGGAGTTGGAGAGACCTTGCTCTCAGGGCTCCGTGGCCGACTGACTCGATCAGTGCCCCCCTTGAGCGGTAGGGAATATAACGGTCCCAGGAGTCCACCCCAGAAACAAATAGTCCTCACAAGGCCTCGTGGTTGCCAAGATGGTGGAGGAAGGAGCCAGAGACCCTCCGATATGTGGTGAAGCAACCTGCCTGGGAGTGCTCCTACTATGTGAAAGACTGCTAGAACTATTAGCAAGCTGCAATGTCCGTCTCCCTGTCAAATGCAAGCGGGTTCTATCAGGACAGATAGCTTTGGAGCAAAAAAGTTCTGGACTGAATCTATGGGATTTTGGAGCCGGGCTTGAGTATATGCCTATTATACAACCTTCCAAGAAAGAGTCTGTTGTTTTGGGGAGACCTCGTGGACAAGCAAGACTACAACAGGCTTCCTTGAGTTAAATGTTGACTACACTGCCATGGGCAGGTTCTCATGTAGTATTGAATTTGGATGACTACATCTGGTCCTCTTGGTTGGCGACAAGTGCAGTGTCTATTTGTTCTGTATTGTCTTTGAAGTCTTTTCCGAGGGTGATATCCTGTTTAACTGTTGTATTATCGATTTACTGTTCAGCATATTATAGTTTATTTTCTTTAATTAGCATTGCAACTCAATATATTTACACAAGATTAACAGCTGTAGTTTCCTTAAGTGCAATTCTCAGTCAAATGAATATTCAAAATGTGCAGAACACTGTTTGACCCTATCTATACAGATACATTTAAGTGAACCCATTGCTCTTACCGAGACTATTCTCTCTTTTGCGCTTTCAAATGCTCGTTCTGTTGGTATTTTATTGTTGAGAATTCTTATATGCGGATGTCTTTCATGTGATCTAAACTTGTAAAATGCCATATTTGTTTATGCATCTGAATGACAAAAATAAAAAATGTTGAAACTTGAATGTTTTTATTTTTATTTAATTTGGAGAACACAATGTTTTAAAAAGATTTTAGATCAATCTGAAGATCAGATTTCAGAAACCATGCAATTGCTTGAATGTAATGGTCTTCATAAATTGATCTGTCAAAATTGTATTTCATAATACGGATGGATAGAGCAGAAAAACAAGGTCCAATTAGCAGCATCTCTAGAGAGAGATAGTATGTATGAGTCCCTGCCCACATATTTATCTCAATACATAGGGGATGGAAAGCAATAAAATGACCACGTGAATTGTTACCAGGCAAATCGAAGAGGGGCACATCATACAATGTATATAATGTATAATTCTAAAAACACTGAGCTATTCTATGCTGCACATTATTTCAAAGCACATTATCCTCATCCTTAGAAGTTCATTTTTAACTTTTGCTAACTTGACAGAAAGATGATGTGTAAGTGGTGTAGCCATGGTACCGTATATTTTTACAGATTTATGTTTAAAATTTCCGACTGAGGCTGGTAAAGAAAATCAATAGATCATGATTCTACAGTGAAGCAACAATCTGGTACTCAGACTGAACATTAAAACTCTATGGATATAAATTCAAAAAAAAAAAAAAAGATTGTAAAGATCTGTAAACATAGAAACATAGAAACATAGAATGTGACGGCAGATAAGAACCATTCGGTCCATCTAGTCTGCCCAATTTTCTAAAAACTTTCATTAGTCCCTAGCTTTATCTTATAGTTAGGATAGCCTTATGCCTATCCCATGCATGCTTAAACTCCTTTACTGTGTTAACCTCTACCACTTCAGCTGGAAGGCTATTCCATGCATCCACTACCCTCTCAGTAAAGTAATACTTCCTGATATTATTTTTAAACCTTTGTCCCTCTAATTTAAGACTATGTCCTCTTGTTGTGGTAGTTTTTCTTCTTTTAAATATAGTCTCCTCCTTTACTGTGTTGATTCCCTTTATATATGAATATTCAAAATGTGCAGAACACTGTTTGACCCTATCTATACAGATACATTTAAGTGAACCCATTGCTCTTACCGAGACTATTCTCTCTTTTGCGCTTTCAAATGCTCGTTCTGTTGGTATTTTATTGTTGAGAATTCTTATATGCGGATGTCTTTCAAAGGAGTGTTGCTGATTGGGACAGCCTGTTAGACACTGACACTGCTTTTTGAAGAACTTTTGGTGCAAGAAGCCAAGGTTTAAAAACAAACAAACCCCAAAACACTATGCACTAGCGCAAAACACACACAAAAATTATTTCATGTTAAAGGGACACTATAGTCACCTGAACAACTACAGCTTAATGTAGTTGTTCAGGTGAGATCTATAGCTCCCTGCAGGCAATCTAATGTAAACACTGTATTTTCAGAGAAAATACAGTGTTTACATTGATTGATAGGAATACCTCCAGTGGCCGTCACTCAGACTGCCACCAAAGGGACTTCCTATCATGCAGGGCCCTAAAAAGGTCTTGTACACGTCAGACGTATTAAAATACATCTGACGTGTGCAGGAGAGAGAAGGCACTATGTGCGCGCCTTCTCTCTTCTGCCTGACAGCAGAGGAGAGGGGGCGGGCAAAGACTGCAAGCTGAGTGTGCTCAGGAATGGCGCCCTCTGAAGTATGTGTGCATTTGCGGCGAAGCCTCGCATGCGCATAAGGGAGCAATGACGCTTCCAAATGGAAGCGTCTGATTTCTCCCTGCTCGCGCCCGCCTATTTCGTCATTTTGACGATGCTCCCGGCGCCTGAACCAGGTGAGTAAAATTGTTTGCCTGGAGAGTCCCTTTAAGTTCTGCCATGGCAGTGAAAAAGTAAAACCTTTACTGCTAACTTTATATGTCAATTGGATATTAAAACATCAGATTTTATCTGTAGTATCCGGTTAACTTTTGTTGTAAATTGTGAAGTGACTTAAAACTCTCTTAAAAAAAGGGGAAAAAAATAAATACAAGACTAGTAGCCAACATCATTTTTAATGTACACAATTTTAAATTCTCAGCAGTTCTTTAGAGAGATTTTTTTTGTTACCATTGTGACAACGGATTTCTTTTATTTACCGCATGATACAAAGCAGACTCCTCTATCCAAGTGCTGTACATCTGAGATGCTAGTCATTTTCCCAAGCCTGGCATATAAATAGAAACGTACCACCTCTCGTAAGCAGCAAATCACAAGTCACATGTCCACCAGAATAAAACATTATAATGAAAAGACCAGAAAGCACTGGGACTAATTTCAGTCACAATAGGTTGAAGAAAAGAGAATGTCATGGCATCTATTTATATTTAAAAATATTAGGACGGAAGGTCCACTCACATTGCGTGAGGCAAACTGTGTGGCAGTGCTGAGTATCTGTGCGGTACGTTTGCTGTCAGTAAGGGCTAGCTAAAACCTCGAACTCTGCATCTTTGGCCCTCGTTGTCCTACAAGTGAAGAATTCTTTTCAAGCTACAATTCAGGTTGGAAATTCTAGCACAGAGTTCATGAATGTGGCAGATTGAAAGGCCGAAGGTGTGCAGCGTTTAAAGAGTTCCCATGGGGCTGTCACACAGAGCAACGTAACAGATCTTCGCAGGCCACGTCCACCTGCGTCTCTTGCTTCTACATAAAATAATGCCTGAACACCGATATACAAAATACAACTAGTTACATTGGGAGCACAGTGCTGGTTCATTCTTTTCTGCTTCCACATTTCTAATTCTGTACAAAAGGTTTCAAGAAACGCACGCAAGCAAGTTATGGGGGCGCTCCCAAGCCACCAGCTTTCTCTCAATTCTGTGCTCTCCTCCGCCCTTGGAATGTCTCTTGTGATATATACACAGGAGTTGAGCTGCCCTGATCGTCTCCCGGCTGGGGGAGATATGCTTTCACACGTCTGTAGAGTAGTACAGCGTGTTCCTCTTCAGCTCAGAGAAGCTGATTGGTGGATGCTGCATGTAGTACAGCAAAACCTGGACCTAAGGGGAGAGAAAAAGACAAAATATTGTAAATAAAACGTTAAACTACAAAAAATATAAAATCATCAATAATGGATTTTCTCAATACAAATGGAAAAAGAGTGAGTAGATATAACTGATCCGCTAAAATACATTGTTACTTGAGTAGTAGTTGGTTTGGTTTGGTTTAGGAACTGCGCTGCCCTAGGCAGGTACAAACCTCCCCTGTAATTGGACGAATGCAGTCATAAATCAGCTGCCTTGTTTTTCACCGTCACTTCTCCCCTTGGCTGAAATAAGTTTTCATTCTCTCCATTTTCCCTACAATTTTATTTAATCGTCACAAATCAGATAATTTGTCAAACTCCCCAGAAAACAGTCCTCTTCTTCCTATCTTTCCTCTAGGTACAGTTTGGGAATGATAGGGAATAAAAGCAGGCTATATAGGACAGTCAGTACAAACAAATAGGTGGAGCTAAAGAATAATCACCCTTAAAGGATCCTAAAGATATTCACACCAGAGCCAGGTTCAGTATATGGCTCTATCCATGTGAGTGTGTATATATATATATATATACACACACACACACATATATATATATACACACACACACACACACACATATATATATATATACACACACACATATATATATATACACACACACACACACACACACACATATATATATACACACACACACACACACACTTAAAAAACATATCCGCACTATTGTATACCTCTCTATCCTTACAGTACCATCAGACATATAAAGAAGAGAGGGAAGTATATTATTTAGCTCCACCTATTTGTTTGTACTATATATGTTTTAAAGGTGTAGGTATAGGGGATACCACACAGGTGGCTTTGAGCTTACATCACATTTCTATATAGGACAGTCGTCCTACACCAGTGCAGGGTCATTGCATTAACCGTCCATTCTCCTGGAATTAAAATGATGGCAAAAGCTGGAGTTAATGCCCTAGCCATACATTTTCCCACTGGTTTATTGTCTAATTTTGAAAGCATGGTATTTTAAGGAATAACTACCTGTGCCATCACATCGTGTGACCAGATGTCAGACGCCAAGTTCGTGTGACCTTTGCTCTCCACCTCGGAAGGTCTGAGTAATGTTGGGCCAAACACAGTTGCCAAATTATGGAGTGACATCTTGTTAATCGATTCTTTCTCTGAAACCCTGGAAAAGTGCAGATAGGGATGTTAAATGTGAAAACTAAAAAGGTTGTTAATGAAATTACATAATGTATTGTCTTGGTTACGTAGGCTGAAAAGAGACATGTGTCCATCAAGTTCAGTCTGCATCTAGTTGTTGTTTAAACATCTGTACAGACTCTGATAAAACTACTTCTTGTTGAACCAGATGTACACTAAAGAGCATGCAGGGCACCTAAACAAAAAGTGTCCCCTTTTAGATTAGAGAGGGTTATGGCTGACATTCCACTTGCAGACAAAATTAGCAATAACTGGTAATTCTAATGAAGTTCCTGCACTATTTACTATATGTACAAGAAGAGAGGTAGGACCAGTCAGAAAGGTTGGTTCAGATGTGTGAGGTTGAGCAACAGTGAGTCGGTATAAGTGTTAAAGGGCTAGAGACTGGTTAATGGTCCCAGAGGCATGGTTGCAATTTGTCAAACCTAGAGTCCAGAAAATAATTACTTAAAACTGTGCTTTAACCTTCCAATGATTTTCCCCTATTGTGCCTCCCTTAATGGAGACTTTAGGTTACCCAGCTTTAAAGGGACACTATAGTCACCACAACAACTACAGCTTAATGTAGTTGTTCTGGTGAGTATAATCATTGCCTTCAGGCACTTTCATGCAAACACTGCTTTTTCAGAGAAAAGGCAGTGTTTACATTGCCCCTAGGGACACCTCCAAGTGGCCACGCCTCAGATGGCCACTTGAGGTGCTTCCTGGCTCAGTGCTGCTCAATCCCACCTCCTTGCCGACTTTAGCCAATCTATTCCCTAAGAGAAAGCATTGGATTGGCTACAAATCTGCCATTCTCATGATGTCATCAAGGTGGTGGATCGGGGGCAGCGCAAGGTGAGTTTTAATTCCTTTTAAGGGGGTGAGGGGGGCAAGCCACTTAAATGGTGAGTTTAACACTATAGGGTCAGGAATACATGTTTGTGTTCCTGATCCTATAGTGTTCCTTTAATCCATTTTCCCTACATCATGTCAAACAATATGTTTAGAGACAGGGAACTGGATGCTAGAAGCACAGTTTGCAGCAGGAGCTCATAGACAGAATGACAGTTTACTTGACCTCTCCAATCAGATTGTAGTTTATACAATTGTTACAGACCTTTCCATTATTATTATTATTATGATAATAGTATAAATCTAAACTTTACTAAACCACTTTGTGTCATACTCTCCCTCACATATTAAGCACTGTACAGTACATGGACATGCTATTTACTCATTAACTATTAAGCATATTACAAATATACCACCCTATATATGTGTATACACAAATATATTATACATGTGATTGTATACAGTCCCACCCCCCACTTTTAGTTTTGGCCACAATAGCATTTGGGTTATTCTTTTTGCACATTTTGTGTTGTTGTGACATGAAAACTGCATGATTTTAGCCTAATTCCTTACAAAAACAAACCACTGTTTAGGCTTGAATTCAGGATTAG